GGAGAAAATTGCTTAGAAAACTTTGAATTTGTATGGTCATGACTCTTGGATCCCTGAAATTAATGGAAAAACTTGCAAAGAATTTTGAAGGTTTCATGTCTGGCTATTATCCATCATAGACACGTGAGCCCAAGTCCACATAACATAGCAGCTGACCCATTTCATATTTATTGTATTGAATTCCGCCACCTATTCAGGTGTTTGTATTCTGTTTAGCTTCAATCTTGTAGGGAATAGATATTTAATGGTTATTTGAGGACAGTAGGAAGGTGTTTAGTATTGAAGTATAAAGAGCCAGATTACCATTTCCTTCTTCAGGACCATGTGGCTAATTTTTAGTGCACTATTTCAATAGTTATCAAGCAGAAAAGATTATTTACAACACTAGTGCTTAAGCTTCTAAGCTTGGCCGCTGCAGTTTTAGCTTGTCCACCCTCAATAATTCAGCAAGTGCTAGATCCAAGCAGTAAAGGCTTTATTTATGCATTGCTAAATAGTTCTTTCTCATTCTATTTATTCTCATTCCAAGGTAAGTGTTGTTTACCTTGGGCCACTTAATTTTTTACTTCATCTTCTTTAGCAGTTCCTAGCATCATTAAATATGATTAAAATTTGCAGTGCATGAGAAGTCGGTTCCGCTTCCAATTCTGCCTCTAAGCTAGCTAGCTCTTGATGGGCCACAACCTTTGATGTGGTTAACACATTTTGCCACGTTCTCAATGTTTCCTCTTCTACGACATGACAGACTGGTTCTTGCATCCATGGCTCTGTATTATCTCTTCTTTCTGGTTTATTCTGTACCTAGTGTGAGACGACGTGGTGTCAAACAACTCATCAAAGCCAAAAGGCTGAAAAAGGCGAGAAAACCCATCATTTATTTGCTACTCCTCTGAAAGTTGTAATGGGCTTCATTTGTTTATGCTCTCTTATTTTGCATGTAGTTTACTTGACCTTGCATCCTCCGCATGGGGTAAAAGTATGCTTCTTCTCTAAGCTGTAATGGGCTTTCTTCTCAAAGCTCTAATCATCCTTCATGTTTCTCTGATTCTCTCAGTTCTTGTTTACTTTTTACTTCAATTACAAGCAATGGATGTTATCAAAACATATTTGTAGACTAACAGAAATTTAAAAGAGAACGATAAGCAATGTTTTAATTTAATGCAAGTTTACAATAATTGCATAATATCAAACAACTAGATCTTTTGACTCTGTTCAAAATTTAAATCGGCGACAGTTAGTTAAGCCCCCTTTTTTTTTTTTCTTTGGCAGTCAGTTAAGCTATTATTCGAATCAATCTTTTTATCACTGTTTTTATTATTTAAATAATTATGTCAAGGATTGTAAAATATAAATCATTTAATGAGAGAAAAAATCTTCAATATCAAAAAACTTATTTGTAATGGTATAGGTTGTACAATACTTTTTGAAATAAAAAAATATTTAAAAGTATGTACTGCTCGGAAGTATTCAGGTTCAGGGTTTTTCGCCATTATAAATTATCGCTACCTCACGGAACAACAAAATATATCCCTCCCTCTTCCCCCTCCCACTCTCTCTCCTGACACTACATTTTCCGGTGATATACACCATGACTGTGGTGGTGCTGACGGCTGCCTTGGTTATGTCCTTGTCTTTCCTGTTTAAAGTTGTGTATGTTAGTATCTCATGTTATTGGCTGACTCCTAGACGCATCAGGAAAATCATGGACAAACAAGGCGTGCGTGGCCCCAAGCCTCGCCCTCTCACTGGAAACATCCTGGAAATGGCCGGCTTCGTCTCCCAGTCCACCGCTAAGGACATGGATCACATCCACCATGACATCGTTGGCCGACTTCTGCCACATTATGTCGCCTGGTCTAAACAATATGGTATTATTCCCTCCATCTGGATTCATATAGGTGGCCGAGTCAAAGACAGTCGTCCATTCATCCCTCCTCTGTTTTTTCTTCATGCAGGGAAAAGATTTGTATATTGGCATGGAATCGAGCCCCGGATGTGTCTAACAGAGACTGAAATGATCAAAGAACTTCTAACAAAGTACAGCACTATATCTGGAAAATCATGGCTGCAACAGCAAGGATCAAAGCACTTCATCGGCCGAGGTCTTTTAATGGCCAACGGTGTAGATTGGTTCCACCAACGGCATATTGTTGCCCCAGCATTCATGGGTGAAAGACTCAAGGTAACAAACATGTAATTAATATAGGGTCCATGACATTAATTAAGCTATGCTTTTTTAGTATTAAGTTTTGAAATTGATTGTTTTTTTGGGAAATAGAGCTTTGCTGGGCACATGGTGGAATGCACTAAGGAAATGCTTCAATCCCTGGAAAATGCAGTAGAATCCGGACAGAGTGAGTTTGAAATAGGAGAGCACATGACTAGACTCACAGCCGATATCATATCAAGAACCGAATTCGATTGCAGTTATGAAAAAGGAAAGAAGATTTTCCATCTCCTAACTGTTCTCCAACGCCTTTGTGCTCAGGCCAGCCGCCGCCTCTGCCTTCCTGGTAGCCGGTGAGTTCACATTTTAAGTGGATTCTTTTTTCTTTTCTTTTTTTTTCCCTCAAGCAAGCTTCATCTTTTTAACAATCTCTAAATTGATTAGTGAATCCTGATTCTGTTCAAAGTAGTTCCATTAACAGATTCATTAAGAATTAATGCTATACTATTTTTAAAAAAATCTTTTGACAATTGTTGATTTTACAGGTTCTTCCCTAGCAAATACAACAGAGAAATAAAATCTTTGAAGATGGAGGTGGAAAGATTACTCATGGAGATAATCCAGAGCAGGAAAGATTGCTTGGAGATTGGCCGGAGCAGTTCCTACGGCAACGATCTGTTGGGGATGCTCCTGGATGAGATGCAAAAGAAAAGAGGCAATGGGTTCGGCTTGAACTTGCAGTTGATCATGGACGAGTGTAAAACATTTTTCTTTGTAGGGCATGAAACTACAGCGCTCTTGCTTACTTGGACTGTGATGCTTCTTGCTAGCAACTCTACCTGGCAAGAAAAAGTCCGAGAGGAGGTGAAGCAGGTCTTCAATGGCAGAATTCCCTCTTTTGATCAACTCTCCAAACTCACCACGGTAATCATTTGTTTCCTTCTTTGAAGTCTTACTTTAGTAGTTAATAAATAGAGAAACATATAATGACATTGATCATGCATGTCTCTTCTGATTTTGCAGTTGAATATGGTTATAAATGAATCATTAAGGCTCTATCCTCCAGCGACTATCCTCCCTCGGATGGCGTTTGAGGATATAAAGCTCGGAGACCTCCTTATTCCAAAGGGGCTCTCAGTATGGATCCCAGTGCTGGCAATACATCACAGTGAAGAATTATGGGGGAAGGATGCAAACGAATTCAACCCTGATAGGTTTGCCTCAAGAACATTTGCCACCGGCCGCCATTTCATCCCTTTTGCTGCTGGGCCCCGGAATTGTGTGGGACAATCCTTTGCTATGATGGAAGCTAAGATTATATTGGCCATGTTAATTTCCAAATTCAGCTTCACAATGTCGGACAGTTACAGGCATGCTCCAATAGTTGTCCTTACAATTAAGCCAAAGTATGGAGTTCAAGTATATTTGAGGCCATTGAATAAGTAATCATCTTTAATACTGTTAATTCCAATGTAGCACTCCTAAATAATTATTTGTTGCCAATTTGATCGCGCAAAGAACTCCTTCCAAACCCCCAAAACTGAACTGGAGTCAAAGTCTGCTGAAATTGAATAGTCCAATGTAGGCATAGTTAGCTTTGAACGTTTTCTTTATAGTGCATAATTAGCTTTGAATCTTTTGTTTATCATTATTTGCTGAGTCACAACCTTGAAATTCTGATTGGGAAACCAGTAGAGAAAAACGTTGGATTTTGTTTTGTTTTGGAACTACGGGTGGTGTAAAAAGTCAAGCAACTTGTTAACTTGAACTTAATTTAACCCGTGAAAATGGGTTATGATTTACGTATCTTAACCCGTGACTCGTAATTAATTCGTGACTAGTAAGTAATTCTTAAAATTAACTTATGTAAGTCAAAAGTTAGGTTTGTGTCTATTCATGAGTTGATAAGTTGATCAATTTACCCCTTTTTATTATTATTATTATTTTTAAAATATTATATTTATTATTTTTAATTAATTTTTCTATTAGTAATTCTATTGATTCATACTCTTCAACCTCTTCTCTATTACTCACAATGGTTTTGAATCTATTTTAAGTGTTTGTCTATCATTATTTTTTCTTTTTTTTTTTAGAAATTATGTGAGTTTGATTTAATTATCAAATATTATGAATTAAGTGACAATGCAACTAAAAATATTAAAGATACAATATTTGGGATATAAATATAATAATTTAGTGAAATAAGTTTTTAGAAGAGCAATTTCATCTTAAGGAGAAGCTTAAACTCTTGATAAATTATGTTTCAAGATGGTCATTGCAAAATTCAAACTTTATTTTTCAAGAAAATTTTAATATTTTAAGTTTAATATTGTTAATCAACTTACTATTATATATAAATATTTGTGGTGGAAACTATAAAAAAGACTTTAAAACTTTTAAGTTCTAACCTCATTTTAATTAAATTTAAATACCTATAACTTTATTTGAATATAATAAAATTAAAAATTTTGTAAAATATAAAAATAAAATAAATTTGTGAGTTGACCTATAACTTGTTAGTGTCAGATTAAGATTAAGATTGGTTTTTACCAATTAATTCGCAATCTATTTACAATCCATATATTTCATCACCTAAATTAACCGAACCTGAAACCAACCCAATTTGCCCATTTGCTAGGCCTACTTGGTACATATGATTGCATGAAGTTACTTACTGAACGAAAGTGTTTTGGTGAAAACATGGACGAAGAGACAATTTAATAGGTCATATAATAACGAAAAAGTATATTATGGTTCATAGTATAAAATATTAACTTTTAAATGGGAGAAGGGTTCATTGATGTTGAGGGTCATCTCCTATTTAAAGAGTTTTATTTTATAATTTAAATGTAAAACAATAGATTCATATAATAATATTTAATCAAATCCACTCAAGTATGAGGTAATACTTAGAATTAGATTTATGAATTGAGAAAGATTATGACTTTTTGCTAAATAAGACATTAGAAATGATAATGAAAATTTTAAATATCTTTCACAAATTAACACATAAAAAATATTTATTAAAAATATTTAAATAATTTTACTAAAAATTTTGACAATAAAACTATGAAGATATTTTAAAAAAAAAAAACCATCATAAAATAACCATCAGATAACTTGATTTCACTTTTCTTGTAAATCTAATAATAAATTAGTAAGACGCTAAATGTTAGGTTTTTTTAATGAACCACAGTACCACGCCAACTCGGGCAGAAACAGATTATTTAGGTCCAAAGTTGAGCTATTTTTTTGATTTGATGTTCTTAAATTGAGCAGTACATGGCCCAAGTTTGACACTTTAATTGTTGCCTTCAACATCAGAGTTCAACTATGTCCAGCAGCTCCCTT